GATTAACTTAGAAATGAGGATATCCGCAGTAGAACCAGAGTGACCGACATAGCCTAACGGATTATTAAGCTGAAGTGGCTATGGGCCGGCCATATAGTTAAGAAACCAACCAACCACCGGCCATAAAGAACCGACAACCGATGGGGAAAAAGGTTCCAGAGTGGCGGCCTCGTACCGGCGGACGAAGTGTAGTGCGTCCCCCCACTAGATGGAGTTACGACCTGGTAAGATATGCAGGAAGTCAGATATGAATGCAGGTGGCTCAGGATTGTGCTTTGTGGCATTCTTTGGGGGATGCCTATGTTCAGCAGTGGACTTGTGAAGGGCTGTAAGTAGTAGTACTGTAGTACTCAGAGGAGAATGTGTTTGTGTAATTGGTTATTGGAATAATAATCATTTTTCATCATTTTATTATTTGAAGTTATAAACATTGAATTAAATGAAAAAATTGTACGTTAATCTCAATCTCAACTTTTATTAATAGTAATTGGTGGTCAACGTTGTTGGTTGCACTATTATATTATATTTTTCGTAGTAAATGTATTCTAGATTAAGAAATATTGTGTAAACTGTTTGTTGATCCTAATAAAAAGAAAGTGGACCCATATTTAAATAAACCAAAACACTTTACGAAACCGATTTATTCGTTTCAGAAAAGAAACAAAATATTATATATGGCTGTTCGAGACCCACTCCCTTCGATCCTTGGGATTCTGATAGCTATGTTCCATAACACATCAATTAATCAGTCCACAAATTTTACACCTCATGAATTACTCTTTGGTTACGAGATTTAAACGAAAGACTCAAGGTATCACGAGACATAGCCCGCTAAAATGTAGAGTCAATGAAAGAAAAGGCAAAAGAGCGATGCGACAGCAATATTAAATATACAGAGTCATTTTTAATTTACTGAAGACCTTTTGGGAATATATTGGTTACATCATTACAAACAATTTTAGTGAGGTCACTCTTCACAGAATATAATACATTTACGAAAAAACTACTTTTAAGGTTTTGTTGTCATGTCTGACTCCTTTTAAGTCTGTATTTTGTAGTACCTAAACAATGTCAGAATAAATCGTCAAAGAAAATGCTTAAATAAGGCATTTTTACACTTGATACAGTATCAAACATTGTGTTGAAATCATTAAACATAATGACATTCAAAAAAAAAACCACAAATATTAAAATTTATAATAAGTAAGAATGACCGCCGGGCCGGTCGACGCCCGTGCTCAGCTGATTGCGTTGCGAGTAGGGTTACCAGATGAAAAAATTAAAAGTCCGGAGAAGAGGCCTGATTTCCATTTAAAAATCCTGAGATTTTACAGTTTGAGAAGAAAACCTTACTTAAAAAGTTATCTTCACATATTAAGTATGATAAAACTGTTTAAGTACCTGCTTGGATATATAAGTTTTGATTTTAATTGTGGAATTATTACCAAAGGAAAATTATTTTTATTTTGTTTAACTTTTTATTAAGAGATATTTTAAAATGTAAGCTGTATTATATTGAAAGTTCTAAAAATCCTGAGATTTCATGAGATTTGCAAAATCCAGCCGCAATCCTGAGAGTCTAAAAATCCTGAAATCTCAGGACAAATCCTGAGATATGGTAACCCTAGTTGCGAGAGCCTACTAAACCATTCATCACTGTGTCTATTGCACCAGGGCGCCACTTTAAATGACTTTACATTAACTTTTCATATACTTCTTTATTTTGCATAAAACCATTTGATGAACTATTTGATTCTTTTATTAATTTCTTTAAGAATTAATAGACATTCTTTAATAGATATTTAGGTAGTCTTTTTACGAATACTGTTTGCTAGCAACTCTGCCTGCATCCAAGAGGCAACGCCTTAACGTCGCACATGCGGCGGCCCAATGCCAAGCCAACGATATATTATAACGTCGACACAGGTGTCACCGTCATCAAAGGCGCCGCCTGCCCTTTTCGGTTTGCAGGCATCGATTTGGTGATCGATGTTTGCAGCACGTGCAAATTAAATGAGTATTATTAACTATTTTTTTATTTAATGTAAGTTATATTTAAAAAATGGATGCAGGTTAAAATAATTACAAATATTACAATAAAATATTTATAATGATTAAATACAAATTAACAGTAATTAAATAAAGATATTAAGGTATAATGGTTCAATAAAAATATTAAAATACAAATTTAAAAATTAGACTTACCTAGGTACTTGTCCGTGGATGGCGGTGTGTATCGCGCACATAGCGTTCAAAATAATCACCTCCACATTCTATGCATAGGTGACACCTAAAACTTAACTGTTCACCGACACGAGATAATACTTGATGATTCATTTTGATTTGATCGAATGCCCAAATTATTTTTTCTTTCAACATGTCGCGGGTTTCGAATGCTCGACCGGTATACACTAATGTCTTTACATGCCCCCACAAATAAAAATCCATTGGTGTGATATCTGGCGATCTGGGAGGCCATGCACAAGGCCCGTCTCGACCGACCCAGCGACCAGGGTATTCTCTGTTTAAATAATCCTTAAATTGGCGAGCATAGAGTGCCGGCGCCCCGTCAAGTTGGTAATACATATTGCGTAGAGATGCAAGTGGTATGTCCTCTAACAACTCTGGCAGCGTGTCGGTGAGAAAACTATGATAGCTTTCACCGTTTAATCTTTCTATGAAGACAGGGCCCAGTAACGTTGTATTAATGACGCCTGCCCACACATTGACACTAAACCGGTGTTGAAAGCTATGCGGTCTTGGTTCATGTGGATTTTCATAGCACCACAAGTGTTCATTGTGCGAATTAAATAGTCCTATTCTACCAAATGTTGCTTTATCAGTCCATAAAATGTTGGCTCGTTCAGCAGCTAGTAACCAGTTACAAAATGTAACTCGCGCTGGTTTGTCAGCTTCGCTGAGTACATGAACACGATGCAAGTGGAAAGGGTACTTCCCTTCATTGTGTATGACACTCCATGCGTAGTACTGTGACACATTGAACTGTCGGGCTGCCTCATAAGTGCTCGCTGCTGGATTTTGTTCAAAAAACTGCAGTATGTCTTGCTGCTCACGTACTGTGCGCCGCGGTGGACGACCACGATTGATTGATACAGGCTGGGATTGCCCGTAATCTCGCAACCGCTGTGTTGTACCTAGCATCGTAGCGTAGCTCGGTGCACGTGAATTGGGAAATCGCCTTGAATATTCACGGCAGGCTTCACTAACGTTATCATTGCAAATTGCTAAAATTCCCACCATTTCGGTATACTCAATATTTGAGTATCGGTATGCCATTGTAACAACGCGTAACGTTCGCGATATTAATCTCACAACGGAAGGAGAAAAGTCGCGGGCGCACAAAAGGCGACTGACCGACTGACGACACAGATAATTAGGTCAAGTTCAAATGAGCAAGCGCCGCCTCCTACACCCCTCCACCCCTACCCCGCCACGCGCTTTATTTTGCTATTTAGGACTATTGCCGTTTACAAGGTCCAATTAAAATATTTTTATTTTTGTATGTAAATAAAAATTGAAGAAATATAATTTCTTTTCTTACAGATGTTGTTGTTATGATGTAAATAATATATTCCCAAAAGGTCTTCAGTAAATTAAAAATTACCCTGTATAGCCAAATTTAACGCGGGAGATAAAGTTTTGCTTAAAGTCCCTAATCCAAACAACTTAAATAGCCTATGGGACGGGCCTCATATTATTGTTAGAATAGGTTCTTTTTTTATAGGATAAGGGTGACAAACGAGCACACAGTCCACCTGATGGTATGTGGTTGCTGTGGCCCATAGACATCTACATCTACCTTCGATTATGAATCAAAATGCAATGCAGCAAAATGCTTTATGTTATAAGACCAGTATACTTTATGTTGTTTATTTACTTAAAAGTTAAATTACTTTCTTTGAAGCCAAACTAAATTTATGTTATAGATTACTATTTACTTTATGTTATAAGACCTGTATACTTTATATTGTTTTACTTAAAATCTATATCATATTGTTGTAATATTATATGCTAATGTTTATAGTTTACCATTAGTAATTGTATCTTTAGAATAAGTTAACGATAACACCAAGAACAATGTTGTGAACTTATCTTTACCCCCACCTCCTAGCTTCCTACAATATTTAAAGCATATCTTTCGATCCCTCAATACCTGCGCCCTCTTTTCCCAAAAGAGGGTCGCTTCCGATTCGGCAGAGAGGCCTAATAAGCCAATGCCAGTCCCACAGGTGGTTTTTAGTGGGTACACTTAGGGTGGTTAGGTTAGTCACAGTGAGTCCCGCATAACCACGAGAGACCGGCTGTCGTGGTATGCATAAAGCATTTACCACCTCCTCGCGTTAACGGGGTAGCGCATTCATTTGCTTCTGGGCGCAAAAAAATCCCTCAATATAATTCCATTCCCAAGTTCTCTGTATCAACTACTATATTTTAAGTTTAAAAGTATTAAATCAATTTATTTTTAAAAGAGTTTTTATCTCTGCCACATAACACTTATATAAAGTTGCAAGTAAACAATGCGATAACGCGTGGCTTGTCTGCTACTCGATCACTCGACCTACTTATTTCCTATGATAATAATACGGTTAAACACTGATTTAACGTATTACATTGTTGCTTTGCACTATACTATAAAATACAAAATGACTCTCTTATGGGTCGGATTAATTTAATTAGAGCTATATAATGTTACGCCACACCGCCACAGCCAATCACAACGCACCATTCAAGCCAGCCAATCCTAGCCAAGCCAAGCGGAAGCCACCACTCTAACCACCGGATGTCTCTGGTGTGGGGTAGTGCTATATAGTGTCTTACAAGCTCTATTTTTAAGAAGTGATCACACTACCGCGGGTGATAAAACGAAACTCTGCCGAGATTGTTATTCAAGTATAAAATAAAATTAGTGCGTTTAGTTCTACCTTTATTTTATTTGTACTGACTGTTACATCTCAGAAGTGGGATAAAAAGTGAAAACTATGAAGCGTCATCGCGTCGGAATGCCAAGAAAAGACAATAAAGTCCGCCCTCAAGAGTCGAGCGAATCACCATGTAAAGATTCATCTGAAAAGAGCGACACTGAAGACGAGGTCACACCACCAGACACTCCTCCGGCCCGGAAAATCCTTAGAAGACTATTGGAAACCGAAGTACAAAAGGCAATGCAAGAGCTAGACGAGGAATTACCCTCCGTAACGACAAGAAAAGAACACCGTGCAGCCTCACTTATTCCAGAATTCGACCCCGATAATGAAGAATGTAGTACCGCAACAGCGTGGCTCAAGAAAATAGATCAACTAGGCGAAATTCATGGCTGGAGCGAAACTACAAAGTCGTTTTACTTACAGCATAGACTAAGAGGTCAAGCCAGACGATGGTACAATCGGCTTGATGACTACGATTATTCCTGGCAAGAATGGAAGCAGATGCTGACGCGTGCTTTTCCCAAACATCGCGATTTCGGGAACATGTTAGAAGAGATGATGAGCCGAAAGAAACTACCAACGGAATCGATGACGAAATACTACCAAGACAAAGTGGCCATGTGCTTCCGGTGTAAGTTGTCTGACAGCGCAACAGTCTCCTGCATCATTCGTGGTCTACCATCATCACTTCAAGCGAATGCGAGAGCATATCAGTGCGAGCATCCCGAAGAATTATATGAAGGCTTTCTCTGTGCGCTGGATGATTATCAACCGCTGTCAACGTCAATTAGAACACGTGTGCAAAGTAAAGACGCTTACGATCGACAGGTAATTGATAAAAAATACATGCCTATTAACCCTGACATTGACCCGTGTCCGCGCTGTAAGAAGACCGGCCACATATTACGTAACTGCCCGTATCCAGATTCACGAACATGCTTCAAATGTGGCAAGCAAGGCCACATTGCTACGCGCTGCGGAATCACTCCGAAACCTGCGCTACTGGCTGATGATAAAGTTAAAGAAATTAAACTTTTACAAAATCACAACAAGATTTACGAAAAAACGGTAAAGATCAATGGCATTCACGTTAAATCTTATATTGATACCGGCAGCCAAGTAAATGTATTATCTACCCACGTGTCGAGACTATTGGATCTCAAAATCAACCCGACCAGCACTATCCTAAAGGGATTCTCTGGAGACCATCTATCCAGCTGCGGAGAGGTAGGTTTTAAACTAGAAATCGATGGTATACATATCCCGTGCAAGGCTCATTTAACAGACGTGGATATGGGGAACATCCATCTTTTGGTTCGACAGCCCATCATCAACAGCGACGGAATGGTCTTAGAGGTCAGGGAAGGAAAAGCCACTCTCAAACAAGATACCGACTTTACAAGGCAAATGGATGTGATTGAAGAGCGCGCTCGCTTTAAGGTCGTCACTACAGAGAAAGAGCGTCTATTGCCTGGACTTTCCATCATCAAGGTCAACGTGATAGATAATGATGAAGATAACGATGTCGTCACTACGCCGCAACATTATGAGCTACGAGGTGTTTCGTACTCAATTCCTGCCACTCTGCTACGAGGCACCGTCGCGTACATCAAAGTCATCAACAATGGAGCTCAAAACATCATCTGGGAGCAAGGCGAGGTGCTGACCAGAGCAGATAGCTGCGTCACCGCACCGCAACCAGAAGTTCAGGTTAGCCTTAAAAATTACACTTTGCCATCGACTTCCGTAGCCAAAGCCAATAATGATTATTATAGCAACTCTATAGCATCTCTGTTGCATACTAGCCTAGCAAACGTTAGCACTATTGGGGGAATAAACATAGAAGATATTAAGTCGGGTCCATTAAATAAAAATGATCATGATAGTTTAATTACTTTATTGACTAATTACAGTGACTGTTTTGCGAATAAAACACAAGACTTGGGATGTACAGATTTATTAAAAATGAAAATAAAATTGACAACTGAACAACCTATATACCGCCAACCCTACCGCTTGTCACATAGTAAGCAGGAGATAGTTAGGTCTAAAGTCTCTGAATTATTAGACGCAGGTATAATCCGAGAGTCCGAGTCATGTTTTGCTTCTCCAGTTATCATTGTAAAGAAAAAGAACGGCGATAGTAGACTCTGTGTTGACTATCGAGCACTTAATGCTATTACAGTCAAAGATAGGTATCCGTTGCCCAATATCAATGATCAGGTTTCAAAGTTAGCCGGCAAGAATTTCTTCACAAGTCTTGATTTAGCACAAAGTTACCATCAGGTTAAAATTGATCCGGAAGACATACACAAAACCGCTTTTATCACACCACAGGGGCACTTTGAATATACGCGTGTCCCATTTGGCCTGGCTAATGCACCATCTGTTTTTATGCGACTTATAAACAAAATCGTAGATTCATTACGAAATTCCAATAACTTTTCAAAAGACGGTAGTACGAAAACTTGCAATAATTTTTCGAACAACTATGAAGTGTTAGCGTTTTTAGATGATTTGTTGTTTCCATCTTTCGATGGGCTTAGATATTTTAGAGAAGGTACTTCATAAATTAAGATTAGAAAATTTAAAACTAAACATGAGTAAGTGTTCCTTTTTACAAAATAAAATCACGTACTTAGGACATGAAATTACACCGAGTGGCATTCAACCGGGTGAATCTAAGTTGGCAGCAGTGTCACAGTTTCCCACTCCTAGTAACGTTCACGAGATACGTCAATTTATTGGGCTATGTAGTTATTTCCGTAAATTTATTAAAAATTTCGCAATAATTGCCCGCCCATTGACCGATTTAACAAAGAAAAACGCGGCTTGGAATTGGGGCCGTGAACAATCTAATAGTTTTGAACAATTAAAACAGTGTTTGTGTACAAAACCCATACTAGCTTTATACGACCCCGCATTACCGACGCAGATTCACACGGATGCATGCAAATCAGGTATCGCAGGCATTTTGTTGCAAAAACAAACTGATAATTCATTACGCCCCGTTATGTATTTCAGTAGAGTAACGAGTAAGGAAGAAAGCATGTATCATAGCTACGAGCTCGAAACTCTCGCGGTAGTCGAATCGTTGCGTAGATTCAGGGTGTACATCATAGGCAAACATGTTAAGATCGTGACTGACTGTACGGCTGTTCGTGCCACCTTAACTAAACGTGACATTATCCCGCGTATAGCCAGGTGATGGCTGTCAATCCAAGATTTTGATATGAGTGTAGAATATAGACCCGGAGAGAGAATGAAACATGTAGACGCGTTAAGTAGGAACCCAATCGATACTGTGAATGTGAATCGCCTTGAAGTGTCGGACTGGTTTTATACCGTCCAGTATCAGGATGACAAGTTGAAGCGAATCATTGATCAGCTTAGGGATGGCTCAGCCGCCACTGAAATATCCAATAGTTATGTATTCTCAGATGATAGATTGTATAAAAAGACATTGCATGGTAATCGTCTCGTAGTGCCAGCATTAGCTCGATGGAGGCTAGTCCAAATGCACCATGATGACATAGGACATGTGGGTTTCCAAAAGTGTATAGACTTAATAAAAAAAGACTACTGGTTTCCAAAAATGACTCGCTTTATTAGAAATTATGTTACTGCTTGCCTTCATTGTGCTTATGGTAAGAGTGGTCATGGTAAAAAGGAAGGAAAATTGTTCCATATTCCCAAACCCACAGAGCCCATGATCATGATTCATGTCGACCACTTGGGCCCCTTTTGCAAGACAGCTAAAGGCTATCAGTATATGCTGGTTATAACAGATTCCTTTTCTAAATTTGTTATTGCTGAGCCAACTCGAACAGTCAATTCGGTGGAAACCATTAGAACACTCAGAAAAATATTCAGCTTATTCGGATACCCCGATAAACTTGTAAGTGACCACGGGAAGGCTTTTACCAGTAGATACTTCAAAAAGTTCTCATCTGATAAACAGTTTAGGCATATCTTAACCTCCGTCGCATGCCCGCGAGCGAATGGTCAAGTGAAACGCACTAACCGTACCATATTGAATGCCTTGCGTGCCACAGATGCTAGCGAGGCTGCAAATAACTGGGCGAACAGCTTACCTGATATTCTATGGGGTATTAATAATACCGCGAATGAAAGTACAACCTACAGACCTTATGATTTGATGTTTTCCAAAAGCTCCAGGCCACGTTGTGACATCGTTGGCAATGGAAGTGTTAGTGAGCCAGTGGACGTTAGGCGTAACAAAGCTAGTAAACAGTTAAAACTAGCGAGTGATAGGATGAAACGTAACTTTGACAAGAAACGCAAAACAAGCCGTGTCTATAAAAAGGGGGATTTAGTTCTTTGGCGGCAAGCACCAACAAGCAGTACGTCGAAGGTAAACACTAAACTTGACGACGTCTTCTCGGGTCTATATATCGTAATCAAGGTGTTGGGTAATGACAGATTCAGGATAGAAGGATAAGGATCAGAAGTATTAAGGGACTCCGAGGCTACAGGGCCTTCACAGGCCTTGTTGCAGCGGACTCCTTGAGGCCTTATCACAGTACGGTTCCCATATCTGACAGTGCCAGCAGTTCTGATGAACAACTGGAAACCGAAGTCCTTATTGACCTGCTAGAAAGTTAACCAAGCTTTCTCCCATTGCGGGAGCAATTGTTGTTTCAGGACGGCCGAATGTTACGCCACACCGCCACAGCCAATCACAACGCACCATTCAAGCCAGCCAATCCTAGCCAAGCCAAGCGGAAGCCACCACTCTAACCACCGGATGTCTCTGGTGTGGGGTAGTGCTATATAGTGTCTTACAAGCTCTATTTTTAAGAAGTGATCACACTACCGCGGGTGATAAAACGAAACTCTGCCGAGATTGTTATTCAAGTATAAAATAAAATTAGTGCGTTTAGTTCTACCTTCTTTTATTTGTACTGACTGTTACAATATGTTAGTCTTTAAAAGTAAAATTACATGCTTCATGTTCTTAACAATACATTTAAGTAGTAACTTATCTCTAATTCCTTACATTAAATTTTAAGTTCACTGTGGAACCCTTTTATTATAAAAGATTTAAATCTATAAACATGTAATACATAGTTTAATTTTGTAAATATTTTTATTTTTATTTACTTACCTTCAGGATCATGACAATAAATCCAGCTTTCGTCACCCGTAAGTATGTCGAACACAGAATTTGAGTCACCTACGTTAAATCTTTGAAACATTTCACCACATCAATCAACACGACGGAGTTTTTGGGCCTCTGTCAAATTATGAGGTATCCACCGGGCACATAGCTTCCTGACCGCTAAATGTTCATGGAGGATTTTGTGGACTTGATTCATACCGATGCCTAAGCTCGTCCGAATCTGCTGACTCATAAGTCACTCTTTTGGCAGTCTCAATCATACGCCGCACAACACTGATGTTATCTCCAGTAGTCGCCGTAGAAAGCCGTCCGTCACGCATATCACCGGTGAGATTAGTGCGATCACATTTAAACTCATTAAACCAGTCGTAAACAGTGGCAGGAGATGGGGCTTCATCGTGAAAGGCCAATCAAGTCTATTATAACTTTCTTGTTGAATTAAATGACGTCGAAAGTCATAAAAAATCACTGTACAAACATTTTCTCGCGTTAAATTCATGCTGACGTGACACAGACAATTTTCAATTTGCCGCCAAATCGTAAACAAATGACTAAATTAAATTCATACACAATAATATTGGCAAAGAGTTTCATTTTTTAAATTTGAATTTATTTCTTTTATTATATCGTTTACAAGTGGCCAGTTCAAAAAACTTTCAGTGTCGCCCTCGTACAATCACTTATAGTATTAAGTTATTACATACACGTCTCCTTCTCTTGTCATAGTGTTGAAGAGAGAGAGAGGGAGAGAGAGAGATGGAACATTATGCTTTTTTAAATAGGCGTCGACTTTTACAAGTATTTATTACTAAGAGTAATAATCTAATAACATACACGTGTATGCATAGAGGGAATTTACAATTCTACATAAAGGGGGACAATATACTTATTTTGCTTTTCCTAATTTAATTTTCAAACAAGAGAAATAGAGGCAAACCTGTGTGTTCAAGATTAGAATGCCACGTGTATACCTTTGGTCTCTTTATATTATGCCCAATATGAGAGTAATTACACTAGTAACTTCTAATTTACTAGAAAAATGTCATTTTAGGTGTAATATCGTGTGGGACTATTTTGTACCCAACTTTCAAAATGGCCTAACATATTTGTTTACTATACTATACTAACGTAAATAATAGTATTCTTTCGTTATTAATACAAATTTATTGAAATGCTTAATGAGGAAAACGCAAGTCGGTATCACGCAAGTTCTCATCTATCCATCGTTGTGCCTGTTCAGTCATCTTTTCATCAAAATAGTCTCGCCAACCGCCAACTTTGCCTGAAATGATATGAAGAGATAATTTGTGTGTTATAAGAAGTATACTTAAACTTTGTTATATTAATAAAGTACAAATCGACTTCAAAGAACTAAAATATAAATAATAGTTTCCGATGTCGGTGTTCAGACAGTTTCAAAAATTAGGAAATCCCTGGCTGAGGAATATCGCCAGCTTAAGTTAACAACTATAATGTTGCCTAAACAGTTACTTTATCAAATGTGATTTCTTATCATACGCCCTTAGAAACCTTATTTTTTATCTCCGTTTTGGTGGCACCAGACGGCAACATAATGCTAAAACGCCTCTGCCCCAATGCATTTTGGTGACTTCACATATCCACAAAATATTTTTATTTCTTATACTTAAACTATTATGATATAGCTTTGCTATTGTTAAAAAATTATTTGTGGGTTATCCGTATGGACAAATTCATGAAAATTAGAGACCATTTCTCAAACAAACAAGCTTACTGAGTTCAAGGGTTTTCTCTTTTTTAATATTATAATAAGTGTGAAAAACGAGCACACAGGACAGCTGGTGGTAAGTGGATGCCCATATACATTTACATCTATGCTCGACTAAACCACTTCTGACAATAAGATGGAAAGTCCCAAAGACTGTAATTATACTGGCTCTTTTTTATAAGAGAGGGGGCAAACGAGCATGCGGCTCATCTGGTGGTAAGTGACTACCGCCGCCCATGAACTACTGCAGCACCAGGGTAACAAGGGGAATTGCAGATGCGTTGCCGGGTTTTTTAAAAAGGCGTAAGCTCTTTTCTTGAAGGTCCCCAAGTCGTATCGGTCTGAAAAAAATACTGGTGGTAATCAATTCCACAGGGAAGTTATGCGACGAAGAAAACATCTTCTAAATCGCATAGTGGTGGACCGCCAATCATCCAGATGGTATGGATGGTATCGGGAGTTCTGCTGCGATGTGTGTGTAAACTTTGGCGGCTGGGATTAATCCGAACAATTCCTCAGAGCACTCCCCGTGGTAAATGCAAAAGAAAATGCAAAGGGATGCAACATCTCTTCGAAGCGCCAATGAATCGAGCCGATCGAAAAGGACTAGGTCGTCGCGGTTGGTAGCTGGAGGGAAAATCTGAGGAGGTTCTCAAGGCTGCGGCCGAAAGCCGCGCAACGTGGGACCTCATTTCCTTGAGGTGAGCGGCAGACTCATGACACGCTCTGTGGCCAATTGGCCGCGCTGATCATGCAATTGGTGGTGATGCCTTACACTTCCAACACGTCTGCAGGAACGGCGGTCTGGCAGGTGGTGGCGCTCACGGATGGCTTTTTTATGGCCGGTGTGGCTATTGTTGCCGAATCCTTGTGACGTACATTCACTGTGGCTGGATTTGATCGTATTCTGTATGGCGTTTACACGCATTGACATGCGCGACTTCGGTCGATGTTTGTGCTTACGCAATACCAAGGGCCAAGCCCTCTTTTACTGATTTAAACTGAAAGCTGTGAAAACCGCACATCCAGCATGGAACACTCACACTGATGGATGGTCAGCGGTGTGTTCCCCCCGCCATCAAGAATCGAGGTGGTCGCAAAAAGTGCTTCTCTTTTGGAGCGTAGGCCAGTGAGTCGTATTTCCTGTGCAGAAATGATGGTAGTGATGGCTTACACAAATTCCCTTGGACAGCCTTGGCGAGAGACCAGAATGCACGGGTTCCCCAAGGAAGGCGAACTCGTTTTTCGCCAATTCTGCCTATGTGCTCTGACTTTGCCTTGGCAAAAATTCTTTTGAAGGACCTGGAGATGAAACTATACTTTTTTTAAGCATGCTGGTGTTTACGTCTCGAGCCGCCTCAGCCCAGGCCTGATAACATTCTTGCTTACTGCGTAACTTACATGAGCGACCAAACCATAGCTAAGATCTGCCTCCGATGGGCACCACAGATGATGGAATAAATAGTACCATTCCCTGCAGCACTGCATCAGTGACAGAGTCAGTAACAGTGTTGGGATCATCCGGCGAGAAGCTAACCCAAGGCTGTAGGATGCAAAAAAAGACCGCATTTCGTCCCAATCCGCCGACCTGTATTGCCAAACACGGCGGCAACCTGCAGAATGCAAAAGGTATGATCCTCCATATCTGGAATCTGCGTAGGCGAAGTAACTAGTTGCGTCAGACCGTATGCCAAGGCAAAGTCATAAATAGATCTCCCCGCATAATTGATTGAACGTGAAAGCCATTCGGCGTGGTGCGCGTTAAAATCGCCAAGGATCACGATCTCTGCGGATGGAACCTGTTGTAGCAAGGAGTCTGTAGCCATTAGGACGTGGTCGATGAGTCGGTCTGTTTCGGTATTACCGCCATGGGACTTATAGAGAACCCGTAGACGCGCGGATGGTTGTCGCTGCCTACGCGTAGCCATAGGATGGACAAGTCCGAACCTTCAAGATTGCCGAGGCGTCGAGAACAGATGTCCTCTCTGAGGTATACGCAAACCAGTCCGAGGCACAAAGGAGTGTTCCAATTTGTACCCCGGGTAGGGAGATACGAAGTATCAGCCGAAGAGAACACCTGCGTCTCATTCAGAAAAAGCAAGGCCAGCTTCGCCGTCTCCAGATTGTAGTGGACGGCGTTTAGGTTCGAGTGAAGTCCCTGATATTGCAGAAATTCACGGATAGCGTGGCAAGGGTCGCCTTGGTTTTGATGCTCAGTTTGCGCCAAGCAATTATTGTTTTGAGCGGAATTTTGCCCCCTACAACTATTACAACTACTGCTTGGTAGCAAAAATACGTAAGAGGCTGGTACCAACCCAGAAATGGGCATAAAAGAGTTTTGACACCTATTATTTTTTTTCGTTCGAGAACGAAACTTTTACTCATGGGATTATTATGGTGATCAGATTATTCATTTGTACTATTGTATCATTGATTATATATCCACTCCTGATAGTCTACAGCTGAACATGGATCCCATCCATTGTATTAAAGACGGGCAGTTTGGTGATTGCAGTGCCAGATGTTGGGAACCTTTTATGATACTCCCCGTCACCGGTGTGGGTGTAGTTTACCGGTTTGCAGGCAGTCAGAGGACACCAATTCGGAAAGGTCAGAAACTCTTAGATTTATTTATTTAAACTTCATACAATATGATCTATAGGATTTAATGCCTGAGGCATTCTCTACCAGTCAACCTTTAGGCATTTTTAGCTATACTTCGTGTACCTATGTTCGGATACCGGCGAACGACATCTAAAATGTGCTCCTCGAAGTGAACAGCCACTTGACTTCCACCTCCTGCCGCTACCGGAGCAATGGGCCGATTTTGCAACACTCACTGATATGCTGCTATTATCATACGAGTGTCAGCTGGGTGTCGAGCGGGCGGGAATTTCTCTCGGTAAATTCGTAATGCACGCGAAGTATTCCCGCAAGCTACTTCAAGGCACATTAACATGTTGCCGTATTCACGAGCATTATAAACGTACGCGTTAGGCATTATTAAAACAAAAAAGAAACACAAAACGTAACAACATGAATAATAACAACACGTAATAACAAATAGTACTAAGTAATAAAAATAAGAATTTAATAAACAAAACGTATGAACTGTCGCTTGCGCACGCGTGTTTAAATTCAACACAGAACTGTCTCAAAAACTAAAATTAATAATGAATCCCGCCAAAACTGAAGCCTAACGTTTTTGTGGTAAATACTTTGAGCATTCCCACAGATCGTTAAACCGTAAAACCGACATTTCCAACTTTTATTTTACAAGTTTAGTTTCCATATGATCCCTACGACTAGTCTTCATATGGAATTTAGAAGTTATAGTTGTAATTTTTAATTCAATTAGACAATCAATTGTACCCAGACGAAACAAGCAGTTCGTTACTACAAAAATGATATTGAATTTAATAAACGTACCTACTTCAGTACACACCGACACAATTATAAACACTATTTCATCGTTATCTTTGATTTTGTACAAGAAAATAAAAATGAAATAGTATTGAATAATGTAATAGTTAAAATCAATTGCAATTATGATCGTCAGGTAATTAATCTAAAAAATAATTATTTTACTTTATTTTAATAGACTTTTCATTTTTAATCCGTCCAATACTTTGATTTAAAAAGAGGTTCGTCAAAACTATTAAAGATTACTTGCAAGTTTTACTGTGATTGCCACCACTAATTCTTATGTTACTTGCAAACAAATCTTAGTATGTAAATTTCGGTGCAATATGGCAGCGTTGCCAACACCAATTTCTCAAATTCTCCGAAAATCCATGTCAAATTCCCCAATTTAAGGATAAAACAACTTCAACAGATTCCCCTCAATTTTATTTTAAGAAATTGAAGCAATTTTCAACTAATTTTATAAGATTTATTTTTAACTAACATGTTTTTTCTTTTTACTGAATTTTTTTCACACTTTCCATATTTTTGTAACAAGTATTTTACTCCACGGAGTATTTTTAATTCCATCCCTTGTTGCCATTATAAAGTACCACAGTATCTGAATTTACATGCATACGGTCCTCTGCTTTAAAATAAAAAAAAAAGAAATGAAAAGTTTTAAATGATACACAAAAGTTGCCGAAATAATTCCGAAAATTAAATGTGGTGCAATGAAGATATTTAAAAAAGGGAGTCATTCGATATTCATAAGCAACCTAACAAAAATGTTAAGATAAGTTTTTCCATTTTGAAAATCCCCGCAATTTCCCCGCATAATAGCAATCCCCATAAAATGGCTAACCAACTTTAAATTCCCCACATTTTGGGGAATTCCTCGTATGTTGGCAACGCTGACGCGAGGTGACACGAGTCGGCCGGGCGGTGGCAGTACCTGTGTGAAAGGGAAGGATAGAGTGAATAGTATAATACCTAATGCATTGTTACCATTGTTGTACCGAGCTAGATAAAAGAGTTTGACTTATGCACTGATATTAACCCTAGTCAGCTGATTTTATGATTTATTCATTTTAAATTTCACTTCTGGTTTAGTGTTTAAGTATTTTCATGATTTTCTTAATGAAATTATCATTTTATTTATCTGTACCAACATGATGGGGCCTGCATATCGAAAACATTGCAAAAAGATGATTTTTCCTCAGGATCGATTTTATTTCTCACCCATCATCAAAGGTATAGTTAGTACTATCGTCTGTCTTTGTTTTCGAGAGCGTTTCACAAACACCCGGTATAAATGTAAATTCATGAATGGAATACAGGGAGTGAGAGTAGAGACGAGAGTAGATCAATAAGACGTTCAGGTTTTGAGTGGATAACTAACCAACATCCTTACTAAATTTTTGACTATTCATCAATCAAGTAAACCTTATTGTTTTTTCATATTTTACCTTCCTGAAATTCTTGCTAAGCACTGCAGAAAGTCATTAAAAATCCACACGCAACTATCTATTAAATTGTATAGGATAGGATATTGTATTGAAATTTAATTTAATATAATTTAATTTAATACAATATCCAGAAAAAAAAAGTAATGTAAATATACAAAAATGGGACGATAATGCCAGATACTGTGAAATTTTAATTTTATAGCGGATATCCGAAGCTTAATAGCATTTGAAAACGACACAACACTATATTTTGAAGCTTCGATTACAATCTAAAGTTCTTTGAATCATATTATTTACGATATTTATGTAGGAAAAACCGTAAAATCTTAAATGGTATGAAAACATCTGTTACATGTTTCATTTATAAAAATTACAAAATGATTGATGATAATAGTGTTGAAACATCTACGTCTTGCTGAGTAACAAGTCAAACAACTCACTCTTAGTAATTAGGTCGGTCAATTTTAATCAGGTTCTTTGTCCTTGCAATATTTACCCTCTTTACTATTGTACGATAAATACAATCTTCCAAGTTAATATTCAAGTTGCATTATTATAAAATGCCCTTATACTCTCGAATATGATCCTTTGAGTCGGATTTGAATCAGCGATCTATGGATATAGTCCGTACACAGTTAATGCAGAATCGCTGGAGGACCTAAGCACTATGCTGAATGACCTCAATAGTGTCTCCCAACGGATAGGTCTTAAGATGAACATGGATAAAACAAAAATCATGTCAAACGTCCATGTCACACGTATGCCGGTAGTTGTTGGGAGCACTAAGCTCGAAGTTGTTGACGAATATGTTTACCTGGAAAAAATCGATGACAGCAAAGTAAAAACGGACATCTACAAAATCGCAATTTTATAGGAGAGTAGATTTACTAAAAAATTGTGGTCATTTTGAGAATTATGGACCGATTGACATGTAATTTTCTATGAAGTATTAAAATAGCATTCTTTATGAATTATGTTATAGTTTTTATCGCTATGTCGTTGTTTTACTAAAATAATTCAGATGTCTTTTTTTACTCTAAAATCTTTGAAGTAGAAGAAGACATCTGCCTGTTATCCGTTTATAAGTTGTGATAAAAAAGCGTCCATTTCATTTAAAATATCTAATAAACTAAGATAATAATCTCCATTAATACTTTTAAGGATATATAAAAAAATCTAAGCAACATGCAAACAGTCTTCCCCTTTTTTTCGACGAAATTTTGCAGATGTCTTTATTTACTTTGCATTTAACATTTTATACATTATCAATTAATGAGTTACCTACCAGGCGGACAAATTCAAATGTCCGTTTCTACTGCGATGCTTTTTTTTAAATCGAGGGTAGATGGCTTCATTTACGTGCCAGATATTCTTCATTATTTTGAAATTTGAAATAATTTTAATTTAAACTCATTTTTATAAAAAATGAGCATTTTCATAAAAATTAAGATGTCCGTTTCTACTTTGCTGCCATCGAAATAGTCCGACTAGGTAAGTTCAACTTCGAACGAGAGGTCAATCGACGGATTCAATTCGGCTGGGCAGCGTTCGGCAGATCACCGACAACCAATGGGGAAGAAAGGTTCTCGAGTGGCAATCTCGTACCGGCAGGTGAAGTGTTGGGCGTCCTCCCGCTAGATGGAGTGATGACTTGGTAAGACATGCAGGAATTTGATGGATGCAGGTGGCTCAGGACCGTGCTTTGTGGCATTCCTTGGAGGAGGTCTATGTTCAGCAGTGAACTTGTGACGGGCTGTAGTAATGATGATGATGATGACTCATAGCAATTATTTTGTCCCATAAGTTTAGCTATTTTACATTTCTTAAAGTTATGTTGATCAGTTCTTAAATCCAACTAGCAAAGGATGGAATCATAATTAGAGCAACTCAAAAACGTTTTATTATCAAGGTGACAAAAGTTAACGAATATTGTTGAGAAATTATTGCCTAAAAAGTGTACGTCAATTTTTAACAATTTCATGACAACCCGAACTATCAAGTTAATATATACTTCAAAAATAAGAAGCTTGTCTTTTTTTGCAGTGTCGAAATTGCAAGAAGTCTGATATACGATCGCCGGTTCACCTTATTGTGGCAATTCAGGAAAATACTCTTAATATTGGGGGAGGCTCACGTTCAGCAATGCAATGATAGATGCCAATAATGAAAGATCGAATACATACCTTTTCTTATAAAACTCTCTTTGTCATTAAATAATCCAGTAAACTTCAGGTTACCGTAATTAATGGCTTTATTTTTTCTGAAATTATCAATTTTAAGGTGTTCGCATAGTTTTTCTATTTGTTCCTCAGTTATCGGTTTGCCCAGGAATTTGGCAACGCGACGTACACAAGCTGGCAGATCCTGAAATGAATTATTTTATATATGTATAGTACCTTATCACTATTTTTATATCTCCAGTATAATATTCAAATAATAAATCTGATTTCTAATGAAATTTTCCCAAATGTTCATATTTATATTTAAAAATGGTAAGGAATGAACGCTGCAATTGAAAAATTACTTCAAGTTTTACATTTCAAACAGTTTACCTTAGAAAGCTCTTCGTAGAACAAAAAGAACATGTTATCATGGTTCCGCATTTGCCACGCTTCTTTAACGTGTTCAAAGAATGGTGTCCAGGGAACTGTAATAATATAATAAAAAAATATGCAAACCAAAACAGTGACTTAAAACAGGGTTGCCTCGAGAAAAAAAAAATAGAAACAGAGCTTTTAAATTTACTATTTCAGCGAATATAAAGTTTTATTTTAATATTTTATACTTACCTAAATCATTGATAAAGAATTCCCAATAAGTTTTGAAGTCCACGCCGTCTTGGAGGTAATTACAAAATTTGTTATGATGGTAAGTTGACACAGCTGCGTCACGAGGGTCCCGAGCTACGTAAAAAACTTTACAAGTGTCCAATAGCTTGGGTGGTAGAAGAGATAATGGCAGATGTGTTTTGATAAATCGAGGGGATGCCATAGACTCAATTTCTTGCACTGGTGGCATGTTTGCCTCTAACGCCTTTATAACCTCTTTGTCGTATGGCATACTCGACATTTCATTATGATTCACAAACGCCTCAGTTCTGTTGGATATTTAATAAAATTTTCATTAAATATATCCTTATATAGTCTAAAGTTTTTTTACAACATAAAACTTTTAATCAAGTTATCTGTAATAATAATAATAATAATCTTTATTTGCGTAAAACATGGCATAGATGTTGTTCACAGATAAAAATCGAGCGCTCATGTTTTGCTTATTTTACATAGCATGCAAATATTTTTAAACAATGTCAAATTTTCTTTAACAATTTTTTTTAAGTACATTATTTATTTTTATTATTTTTTAAAAAAAAAACTAGGATTTTCTCCTGTCTCGTGGAGGCAGTTTACAAACATAAATTGCACAAGGACAAACATCCAGACCCGCAACAATTATTTGTAGGCCAAACAAATACTTGTTCCGTGCGGGATTCGAACCCGCGGCCCCCAGCGCAACAACTGATTGCTAAGCCACTGTGCCACGGAGCTGACATTAATTACCTGATTTAGTTAACAAAGATAAATAATATTATAATAATTAATTACATGTCAATTTCAATACCTAGTAATAGTCGCATAGCTTAATCAAAGATATATTGTACAATACTATATTTTATTATTTTATATTTATTACAATAATTAAATGATTTTTTTAATAAGTTAACCAGTACATAATCTAATTTTTTTCCAAGAATTGTTTTACACTATAGAAATTATTTTTATTCAGCCATTTGTACAATTTCTTTTTGAACAATGTAATATTTAGGGTTTTAAGTTCGTAAAGGAGTTTGTTATATATTCGGACACACATGGTAAGGCAACTTTTGTCATATTTTTCTGATTTAGGTATATCCTTAAGTACTAGCTTGTGTGGGTCCCTACGTGAGCGAGTAGTCTGTACCTCACAAGCTTTTTCAAATAATTGTTTGTTTCTCTGCACAAAAACACAAACTTCAAAAATATATTTTTTTTTCTAAAAATTATAAAATATATCGTTGGTAGCGGCAGTATTCCAAGACCTTTAAATAGAGGCTGACATGATTCATCGAGTCGTACTCCGCAGATTGCCCTAATGCACTTGTTTTGCGCAATAAAAGCCCGATTTCAATCCGAACTATTTCCTCACATCACCAATCCATAACGGAGTATAGAGTCGGCATATGCTCGGTAAGTCATAACAGACGTTTTTAAGTCAGTAATTTTTTTATTTGGTTGAGCGCGTAAGAACATTTGTTTACTTTATTACAAACTTCATTGATATGTGCTTTCCAGTTCAGATTCTGGTCTATGACAACACCTAAAAATTTTGCTTTTTCTATTTGATGGATTTTTGTAATGTTTAGCTTGAAATTGTATTGGTTATATTTTGACTTATTAAAGTGAATAAAATTTGGTTTTGTCAATTTAATTTTTAAATTGTGAGCTTGTAGCCATTCAATTATATTATCAATTGTATTATTTATGAAAATCATTTTTAACGTGACATGGACACCTATGCCGGTAGTTGTTGGGAGCACTAAACTCGAAGTTGTTGACGAATATGTTTACCTGAGACAAATAGTCCGACTAGGTAAGACCAACTTCGACCGAGAGATCGATCCACGGATTCAACTCGGCTGGGCAGCGTTCGGGAGATTACGACGCATCTTCTCGTTAGACATACCTCAAAACCTCAAAACTCAATCTAGTTTTTTATATATACATATATATATATATATATATATATATATATATATATATATATATATATATATATATCAGGTATACCTCAAAACTTGAAAACGAGACTGTACAACCAGTGCGTGTTACCAGTGATGACATACGGAACTGAGACGTGGCCCTTCATTGCTGGCCGGATGAGGAAGCTCAAGGTCGCTCAGCGAGCTATGGAGAGGGCTATGCTCGGAGTTTCTCTGCGTGATAAACTCAGAAATGAGGATATCCGCAGTAGAACCAGAGTGACCGACATAGCCCAACGGATTAGTAAGCTGAAGTTGCAATGGGCCGGCCATATAGCTCGAAGAACCGACAACCGATGGGGAAGAAAGGTTCTCGAGTGGCAGCCTCATACCGGCAGGCGAAGTGTTGGGCGTCCCCCCCTATATGGAGTGACGACCTGTTAAGATATGCAGGAAGTCGATGGATGCAGGTGGCTCAGGACCGTGCTTTGTGGCATTCCTTGGGGGAGGCCTAAGTTCAGCAGTGGACTTGTGGAGGGCTGTAATGATGATGATGATGATAAACAATATGGGCTCTAAGATACTACCTTGTGGAACACTATTAATATTTTCAAGACAGTTAGATTTATATGTTCTTATTTCTTTATTGATTAATTTTGTTATCGTGACACATTGACTACGATTTGTTAAATACAAAGCAATCCATTGCAACGTAATACCCCTTATTCCCATTTTTTCCAATTTATTTAATAATAGATCGTGTGATACGAAGTCAAATGCCTTAGTCAAGTCAAAAAATAGTCCCGTAGTCAAATAATTATCATTAATATTGGTTAACAATGTATTGATTAGGTGATGAATAGCTAAGTTAGTCGATTTATGTTTTAGAAAACCATATTGATTTTTATTTATAATGTTAAACTTATTGCAAAATTCTAGGAGCCTTTTATACATACACTTTTCAAATACTTTTGAAAGTATAGGTACAAGGGTAATTGGGCGATAATTGCTAACGACGTTTCTGTTGCCACGTTTGTGTATAGGCTTTACAATGGAGGACTTTAATGATTCTGGAAAGCTTCCTGATGAGAATGACAAATTGACAAGATGAGTCAAAATGTCAATTATTTTATCAATGCATGACTTCAATATGTGTGTATTTATGCCATCGTAGCTTACTGAGGTGGTTTTATTTAATCTCTTATTTTACTTCATTTACTGACATGGGTTTAAGGAACATTTTGTTTAAGTTAAAATTGTTCGTAATATAAGAGCCTTCGCCATTGTTTACATTATTAATACTAATTTTTCCGATGTTTGTAAAGTAGTTGTTAAATATTTGGGATATTTCTTCCGGGTTTGCTATGTCGGAGTCGTCAATTTTTAGATAGTCAACAGAAGCTTTGCTTTGTGTTATACCTATTTCATTTTTTTATTATAGACCACGTTTCTTTACATTTATTATTACTGTTTTGAATAAATTTAATGTTTGCAAGTCTCTTAGATTTATTTATACATTTTTTTAGGATATTTGAATATGTAAAATATTTCTGTCTATTGCTTGCTGATTTATGTGTATAATAGTTATATCGGAGTTTTCTCTTTGTGTTACAACTTTTTAGTAAGCCTTGACTAAACCACATGCGATTGTTTTTGTTTGAGTTATTAACCTTTACTTTTTTAGTTGGGAAACACAAATCGTAGAGCAACTTGAAGTTCGAATGAAAGTTATTGAAAGCTATATTCAAGTTAGGTTTACTATATACTTCAGACCAAGAAAAGCTATTCAAGCAGTCCTTAAACTTTTTTATATTTTCTAAAGAATGGTCTTTTTTGAATGAGTAGTAGGATTTTTCTGTTTTAGGAATATTTTTTTGGATCGGAATACTCAATAGTTGCGCTGTTTCATGGTACGACAGACAGAGAGGCAGTACATGAGCAGTAGCGTCCTTCACGTTACTAAGGATGTGATCTATACACGATTCTTTCCGAGTTGGAACATCGATATGGCGTTTCAAATTATAGTTATTGAAAAGATCTTTTAAGTGGCATGTTAGCCTGCCAGGTTTCAAGGTATTTATATTAAAATCACCTACTACGAGTATAACAAGGTTGTAATTTGGTTTTACTTTTTTTGATAAATCATGTAGTAAATATCTCAATTTATTTAGAAATATGGTAGGGTCAGAGAAAGGGGTTCTGTAAATACAATGTATAAATCTAGATTTAAAGTATTTTGTATTTAGTGCAGGAATTTGAAAAAACGTATCGCAACTTTGGTGTTGTATTACCGCCGGTCTAAATATATTGTCTTTTGATTACCGTCAGGATCGTTCTGGCATTTCCAGTAGTCACCTTTTACGACACCCATAGAACAAAAAATTAGGTGATAGTTTTTATTACGCCTTTACCACGGCTATACACCTCTATGCGTTAGGAATATACTAAGTTTCAATCAATCTTTATATATATAATAATAATAAATGTAACTTTATTGTACACTATGACAATTTTCAGAAAAAAAAGGAAAAAAGCCTATTATCTGTAGTAAATTTTCAAACACTTACTCTAAAAAAGGATATCTTACGGTGAGCGGGGTTTCCAATGCCTTTTCATAATCAAAGTTGTTTAAAATAAGCCAAACCAATTCCTGCGTCCACGTGGTACCTGTAATTGATGTTTATTAGAATTCGTACAAATTTTACATATACTCTTAATGCATGATTTATATTGAAAACGGGTGATCCACTCAGAGTGGCTTCTGGATGTTGACAACAGCGCCACTTACCGGATCCAATTGTAAATCTAAACCATCCACGGACCCACTCAAACACAAATAAAAAAAATCATAAAAATCGGTCCAGCCATTTTTGAGTTTTTGCGAGACGAACGGTCAGCAATGATTTTTATATATAGAGAGATTTTGACTTTTATAATTAGCCTTTTATAATCTAATCTCATCTAATATATAAAAATTAATATTTGTTTCTTCGTATTTTATGAGCTGCCACACCGTATCATCAGGTTGCGGTAAAAAAGGTGGCGCGCGTATCGTTCAGATAATTTATTTGAAAGTTATAAATCATTCAATTTTAATGATTGTATTATCATACCTAATTAAACAATATAACTCTTCCATATTTAAAACGTTATTTCCACAATTATTTCTTCTGCGGCAGCAATCCGCCCTGTAGCAGCTAGTTTTAAATAAAAATAGCAGCGATATCCAGTATGTTCCAGTACACTTATAAATAAATTACTTAGTATAAATTGATTTGCTTGCGATTATACAACTTTCACTATCTTTTTAATTTAAAATATGCTTTTTGTTTAAAATTTGCGACTGCTCATAGCGTAGCATCATCTATCATTAAACTAATTGTTTATTTTTGTTAAAGTTACGTCCTTTAAGTAAAAACTGTATACATGACCGTAACGAACTTTCCCGTAAACCATCACTAACTTAAACTATCCTGAGGATCGCCCGCGTAAACCAAGAGTACCAGGTCATTTTATATGGAATTATAACGAAATTTTATTAATCCAAGTGCATTTTATAAGTTGGTAGACTGGTACTCGTCAACTTGTTAAGCATAATTAGCTGTAATAGCTTTCCTCTTAACTTCATTATATATACTACATTTTCAGACAGGGGTTTCGTTGGTAAAGGGGGGACATGACTTGCACATGACTCTAATATGACTTTAAAAATGACCATAAAAATACCACTTTAAAGTTAAATACTTTGCAAACGGACACCTGAATCGATAAAATGTTGTTTTAAACCTCCAATAGTTTTGAAAGACCTATCCAAAGAAGATGGAATAGTTGGGTTAAAAAACTATCATACTCCCTTTACCTGTATGGCAGGTACCCAAAATAAAATGTTTTTCAAGATTTTATTTCTCAGTTTTGTAGGCGTGATTAATATCTATAACTATTCCAAAGTACAGATTTGTAGTTTCAAGGGTCTCTGAGTAATACCGCGAACAGGCATGGCGAAACTATAAGGGTTCCTTATTTTTTATATTATTTTCTATGGAACCCTAAAAAAATAATATATGATTTCTAAATAGAGGTTGTGTTCGGTAGAAATAAAAAAGTTTTCTTTCCTTTTGGAGAAAACGTAGTGACTTTAGAATAAAATTACTGCTTAATTTTTTTTATTTTTTATTTATTTATTTATTTATTACAAAGTATAGTTATTTAATAACATCCGACAGTACAAATAAACTTACAAAAGTCTTTCCATGTACCGCCAATTCGTAACTTCGATCATGTTCAATCGGTTCGCGTTGCAACAACTTATTTAATGAAGTATATAAATGTTGTGACAAAATAGCAAGATGTTTTTTTTTTATCTAGGTGTGTACCAAAGCAAAATATGGTTAGTATTAAATAAAAATTAGTAAATTAGTAAATTTTTTTTATTTATGTATATTATATTATGATGTGTGTTAGTGTTATATGTTTAGTTTTATATTTTATTTTAAGTTATTATTAGGTATCGTTAACAGTTTGTCGATAAAATACTGTTTAAGCATATATTTAATTTTTTTTTCAGTAAGTTCATTTTTTATTGGTTTGGGAATTTGGTTCAAAAGAGCGGGAATTTGATATTGTAATCTAAATTTTCCGTACATATTTTAATATTTTGGGATAATCATATATGGATTAAGGGCTTGTCAAGTAAGTTTTGTATAAATACGGCTAATTTTTAATTCTTCCTTGCCATATTTTTCAAGTATATTATATTATATGAATAATCATTTAAAAAAATTGTCATACTTAAAATATCCAGACCAGTAGTCACTAGCGAAACAATTTCCAGTATAATATCAGGCGTCATAAATCTGACTACCGTTGTACTGGGTACTATGTACACCAAACTATCATAAAGAGAAAAACCCTTTAGTTTAATATTTTCGTAGCCGATATAGCATGGTAACAATGTCACAATCTTCGTTTTACTATCAATCTTATCCCATGTACCTATATTCAATAGAAGACTAAGTGAGATAAAATTCGTTACGACAATTCGTAGCATTGCTTGTATATATATTTACAAGGTTATTTTGCAATAACAAGTAATATAAGCAAATGGTGAAGGAAAATTTATTAAATTCAAAATGCGTGGTAATGTATTACTTTAATTCGTATTTTCAAAAACTGCAATTGGTATATAAGTATTTATATATTTGAACTTTTGTTTAAAATTTGGGTACTTTTTGAAAAATAAACCTGTATATATTATAGTATTAACCGCAAGCTACCCTTGCATAAGTCTGCCGCGCCTAGAATATAAATATTACAAAACTTTTAACTTTTATGAATTTATGAAAAAGAGTCGTGGAGGGTGTATGATTCCCGCCAGGTCCAATGAAATTGTTAATTGCAATTTTATTTGCTAATTTACTACGTGATCGGTGATGAAAATAAAACATCGTGACTATACCTTCATGATAAACAGTTTACTATTTACCAAGCTAGAATACATATTTTAAAAGCCATAAATATTTTTGTGACAAACAAAGAGTAAGTATTAGAAAGAAATCGCTTAAAAGCAAGATTATATTAATTTTTAATATTAACGGCCTTGCATATAACTATTGATCATCGCTTACTTAAATTAAGTATTAATTTTCTTAGTAATTGTAATTTGTAACTTCAAACATTACTTAAAAATTGCGTCTATTTTTATAAGACCGTAAAGGAGTTGTAAAGTTTCATGGAATTTTAAAAAGTCACTTGTCAAATCGAACCGACTCAAAGATGAAAAAATAGAGTCTATATTTTATGATCATTAGGACCACCAGATCAAATAATATCGCCCGAAAACATTATGTCATGACATGTATGAATGCCATGAAATCCTACATATTTTCTGCCGACTTCCAAAAAGGAGCCGGTACTCAATTCGACTGTATGTTTTTTTTTCGTTTTTTTTTATGTGTGTTACTTCAGAACTTTTTTCTGGGTGAACCGATTTCGATGATTCTTTTTTATTTGAAAGCTGGTACTTCTCGTGTAGTCCCATATGAATTTGATCAAGGTCAGACCAATAGTTTTTAAGTTATTCTTAAATAACTTATATTGAAGTCGGCTGTACAAAATTTTTAATTTTAAATTATATATAATTAAATAAATGAAAAAGTGAATGACACAGGGCAAATCTGATAAGTTCTTTATACCTTACCATTATACGCGACTTTGGAGATACACATACTGCAATTGTATGGGAAAATTTTAAAATAAAATTACCTGACCCAAATAAAGGTTTATAATTTTTGGAAATAATTTTGTGAATTTTGGCATGAGACACTCATGATGTTAATTACATTATTAATGTGTAGTGTAGTCATCATCATTAGTAGTTAGATTTTATCATTAGTAGTTGATCAAAGTCCGAGTGAGCAAAGCCGCGGGAAAAGGCTAGTATTATTATATAATTTTTAAGACAAATTCTGGCGCCTTTAACCAATATTTTCCAAATTTTGCTCTCAAAATAATTCTCCCACACTGACCACATGTGTTGCTGTATATATATAAATTGAGAGACAAGAAATATGTTTCCGATAATCAACCTCTATGGATACTCATCTACGTCTAAAATATTAGCAAAAGTAATTAACAATACGCTAAATAATTTTTATAGGGTAATTCCATATCATCGAACATAAAATATGGCTTTAGACCAAAACTGTCCTATGCTGATACTGGAAATTATCTATTACACATCTCAAGAACCAGATATAGGCAACAAATCAATAGGCATTTTCCTTGACCTAGCAAAAGCTTTCCGTACAGTTTCTATATCGATCCTATTAAATATGCTAGAGAACATAGATATTCCAGTAAAAGTTTAAAATGCTTGCGAACTATTTAAAAATTAATGCCAATGTTTGACAAATCAATAAGGTCACTACCTCTGAACAAAAAATAACTCGTTTTGAGGTGCCCCAAAGTAGTAGTATTTTGGCCAAACCTGTTCACCTCAATAATGTCGACAGATTGATCATATCTCCATCCAAAACTTAGCTTTACTTGAAATAGATGGAAAAAAAATTATGTAAATAATCAAATATTGAATGGTCTCAAAAATATTCAATAGTCTATTCAAATTAACACATAATATATTAAAGACCATAAAGTTTAACAGTATTTAACATATACGTACCTGATCTAGGTAAAGTTACAACAAAGGTATCACTCGGTCTAATTTCCATGTTGTATATTTTTTTACCAACGTTCTCAAAATCTCTAGGGAAGAGGTAACCTTTGGGTCCAAAACGCGATGTACATGGGTTCATATTTTCTGGTTAAAAAAAAGTTCAACATTTTAAAACTTTTGATAATGTAACACTTACCCATTGTCTCATTCTATTGTCATAATACTGGTAAAATGGAGTAAGTAAAACTGCTAGCGTTGCTATCGCCAAGCCACTAAAAATTTGGATAGTATGGCAAACCTGGTAGAAACAAGATGCAACGTATTATAGTTAGAGCACGAGAGGATCTTTCAATCAGGAAAGAACCACGCTCTCACAGAATTCTAGCGTAAAATTCAAAAAAGCTAAATTTACGGCCTTAGTTCGCCAAATGAAGGGCACTGGCCCTATCTCGTGTCTGAGAGGGTTATGGAAACAATTTGTCCATAGGGTTCCAGTGCGCGTTGACAGACAACACATGCGGTTATAGTTACCACGGCTCTTACTAGTGTCAAATAGCAGCACAATACTGTTGCACTGTGTTATATTATTGTCAGTTCAATAACGAGATATCGTGTTCCATGTGGTGATTGTAAAGAACCGAAGTCCCTTTTTACTGGAAACAAGGCATTGCATCTTACTCTTCAAGGGTTACAACGCATCTGCATATTGATTCTTACTCGAGGAGAGATGTTGGTGTCTATGGAACACATCATTTACTTACCATCATTTTAACTATGTGCTCATTTGTCACCCTTATCCTACAAAACTTAGCTGATTAAACACTAAAAGTCACTGCAGCGTGGTTATACAATGTATAAGTAAATAAATTAGCTAGCATTGTGAATTTCTAAATAATGACGATTATAAAGTATATTCGTCATTATCATCATCATTACAGCCATTCACAAGTCCACTGTTGAACATAGGCCTCCCCCAAGGAATGCCACAAAGCACGGTCCTGAGCCACCTGCATCCATCGACTTCCTGCATGTCTCAGTAGGTCGTCACTCCATCAAATGGGGGTCGCCCTACAATTCGCCTACCGGTACGAGTCTGCCACTCGAGAACCTTTCTTACCCATCGGTTGTCGGTTCTTCGAGCTATATGGCCGGCCCACTGCCACTTCAGCTTACTAATCCGTTGGGCTATGTCGGTTACTCTGGTTCTACTGCGGATATCCTCATTTCTAAGTTTATCACGCAGAGACACCCCGAGCATAGCCCTCTCCATAGCTCGCTGAACGACCTTGAGCTTCCTATGAGGAAGCTCAAGGTCGTTCAGCGAGCCAGCAGTCAAGGACCATGTCTCAGATCCGTAAGTCATCACTGGCAACACGCACTGGTTGTACAATTTCGTTTTCAGGTTTTGAGGTATGTCTAACGAGAAGATGTATCGTAGTTTCCCGAACGCTGCCCAGCCGAGTTGAATCCGTCGATTGACCTCTCGGTCGAAGTTGGACTTACCTAGTCGGAATATTTGTCCCAGGTAAACATACTCGTCAACAACTTCGAGCTTAGTGCTCCCAACAACTACCGGCATAGGTGTCACATGGACAATAAACATGATCTTTGTTTTGTCCATGTTCATCTTAAGACCTATCCGTTGGGAGACACTATTGAGGTCATTGAGCATAATGCTTAAGTCCTCCAGTGATTCTGCCATAAGGACTATATCGTCGGCAAATCGAAAGTGAGTGATGTACTCGCAATTGATATTAATACCGTATCCTTTCCAGTCCAGTATCTTGAAAACGTCTTCCAATGCAGCGATGAAGAGTTTCGGGGATATAATGTCACCCTGTCTTACACCTCTCTGCAGTTGGATAGGTTTCGTACTCTGGTTCTGTACTCGGATAGCCATGGTAGCTCTACTGTACAAACACTTCAGCACTTCGATATACCGACAGTCAACTTGGTACCGCTGAAGGGACTGCAGCACCGCAGAAATTTCGACTGAATCAAAGGCCTTCTCATAGTCCACATACGCTAGACATAGTGGCAAATTGTACTCTTCGGACTTCTATACAATTTGCCGAAGGGTATGTATGTGGTCTATGGTGCTAAAATCCCTTCGGAAACTGGCTTGTTCGGGAGGCCGGAAGTCGTCAAGTCTGCGCGCGAGACTATTCGTAATGACTCTCGAAAACAGCACGTAGACGCGGCTCAGAAGGGAAATCAGTCTGTAGTTCTTCAAGAGAGCGTTGTCACCTTTCTTGAAGAACAAGACCACCGCACTTCTGCTCCACGCCTCCGGTGTAATGCCACCATGTAGGACGGAATTAGTAAAAAAGTATATTAGCGGAATATTATTTAGATATGGTGGTGGAAATGCCTGATGGGACAGTTATGAGTATTATGGAGGGATGTTACTGGTATCACAGTGGTATCGTAACTAATAATGTGTTTCACTTACTTTGATAAGATTGCTTCCATTTTTCAACTTGTTCAGGTTCGATATCTCGAATTTCGAAAGGGAAGCTCTTGTTGGATGTAGTCATTATTATAAGTCTTATCTATAAAAATTGTAAAAAGTTTTCGAAGTATGCTGAAAAAGAAATTAAATTATTTTTATTAATTATTAATTTACGTAAACAAAATACTTATTCGTATCACTATATAGCTAATGGTATCAAATATTAATAAAAATATATAAATCCAATTGTGCAAGCCTTAATCGCATTAACAAATTATGTATTACCCATAATCATAATTTATTTGCAGAAAACAAGTTTTCACTAATAACCTTATTATTATATTTCCAATTTTCCAATAGTTTTATGTCAAACTTCAATTTTAAAAAAGTTTTGAAATCTAAAAGCACGCACGACTCATAATGCTCGTATGTTCATCATATCATCATTGAGGCCACCCCATAAAGTCCAAGACGTATTTAAGTATATTTATATATAAATCCTCCTTACTTTTAGTACGTACTACTATTATTTATCCTGTGCTTTTAAAATATTGTAATTAAAGTCTGTGATTATAATAATAATCAAGTTTGGATTTTCGAATATTTTGTATATATGTATAGCGATCTTTTTGAGCACGAGCCGCTGTGCTGCAAACAACCGTTACAGTAGACACTCACGACGACGGCTGAGCTCGAAGTGAGTGAGTAAAGTAGTCTATTTAGTAAAATAAATTATTACAAGGCTACTCAAAACACCGAAAATTTCGGGATTTCTACACCGAAAAATATCAATTATAACTAAACAAAACAAAATTAAACTGCTATTTACATTCCATGGCTTCATACGGGATAGATGAAGAGAATAAAAAATAGATTGAGTTGAAAAATTGATAGTTTTAAAAGTTATCGTGTTTACCCTCCTTGCCGATTTGATAAAATAAGCCAGTAAAACCACTTTTTTATGTAAAAATAGCAATTGATCGATTTAAAAAAATTTTATAAGTTCAAAACAATCATTTACTGATAATGTGCTTTTTACATCATTTATATGTACAATATGATTGTTAGATACGATTTCATGCGACAAAACGTTTGAATCTTGGTTTTTAGGCCTTAGTAGAACATCCTACGGGTTTCGCGCATAAGGCATGCAGTAAAATTAGTTTGCTTAATAAAGAAATATCTGATTATATAACACATTTTGTCGTTACTAGTAAGAAAGCGATAATTCTGCAGTTGGTTATAAAGGCAATTTTGAAGAAGTGCATACATTTTATAAGGAATAGTTTTAAAGAAATAGGTTTGATAAAAGTTACCTTTTTTATGAATTATATGAAACCATTACAACTAAAGCCGGATATTGTGTCTCTTTTTTTTATAGGATAGGGTGACAAACGAGCACACAGTCCACCTGATGGTAAGTGGTTATTGTGACCCATAGACATCTATATCTATCCTCAATAAAGACTCAAGACGCAGATGCGCTGTCACCCGTGAGGACTAAGATGGAATGTCTCTTTGCCAGTAAAAAGGGTCTCCTGTTCTCTACACTCACCATACGAAACACAGCAGCGTTAAACTGCTATTTTACGCTGGTTTTCTGTGAGATCCCCGGTCGAGCCGACCCATTCGTGCTACAACTATATTACTAATATAGCTGCAGCATGGCTCTACCACGTAAAAGTATATATATCCTTATGTAAGATCTAAAAATAATGGCTAATCAATGGTATAACCAAATGGTAATCTATTACTTCATAGTGCGGATTTTACCATAGTTGACACGCTTGGCAGGCGGGTTGGCAACCGCAGTTTTTTTATAATTTTGAGTACTATCAGAAAGATGCTGCTGCCTATCGCCTGTTTTTGTTTCCCTTTGTCGCCACCCACGGGACGGTATGAGGAAGTTGTAGGAGAATCAATGCAACGACGACAGTGGCGGTGCGATGGGGGCTGCGGAGAGCAGGTAGTTATCAAATCAATTCCCCTGGTGTTGCAGTTGTTCATGGTCGGCTGTAGCCACTTACCATCAGGTGAGCCGTATGCCGGTTTACCCCATTTGAAACGACGAAACTTCAAACGCCTACGATTCTTACGATATCTACGGGACAAAATAGAGTGTTGGATTCCCTTATGCCACCACGACTATCCAACTCACTAATTTAAACATATGTTACGTACTCACAAACTCATATTCCTGGCGACAAAACCAGAAACTCATAAATATTATTCTCCATTATATTACATTTTTTTTTAAAAAAAAAACGTAACCCCCACAGTAAGATTTTCTCCTGCATCGTGTGGGCAGTTTACAAACACAAATTGCACAAGGACAAACATCCAGACCCGGAACAATTATTTGTAGGTCATACAAATACTTGTTCCGTGCGGGATTCGAACCCGCGGTCCCCAGCGCAGCAACTCAATGCTAAGCCACTGCACCACGGAGCCGCCTACATTACATCTTTATCACGACCACTTCTGGCTCCATAAATCTGAAAACTCTGTTTGTTTTTGGGAAAATATAGAAATAGGAAGGCGCGAAGTCTGCACTGTATGCGGAATGGGTCACGAGCTCCACCTTTTCAGAAGCCAAAAATTATTTTATCTTGTTAGCGGTGTGCGTCGAAACATTGTAACGGTGCAATAGGATGCGACTTCTTGATCGTTTTTCCCTAACATTTTCAAAGACACTAGGCAAACAAATAATGGTCTCAGCATTAACAGTCCCTTTTTAGTTTTGGGAAAATTCTTACTTCTTATCATTTGGGAGAGGGGGGAGTTAGAAATTTTCTTATTTTTGCTTACACAGGGAGGGGGAGAGTAAGAGTCGATCTAAGCTTCTTTTTTCTCCTTTTTTTCTCTTTTCTTGATAGGACCTCGTTTTTCACTATCATCATCATTATTGTTAATTATTTCTTCTAATTCTGACGATAATGCTTCTTCTTCTTTTTTCTTTGTCTCTATAGTTTTTTCTAGTAAAGTTCGTGAAACCTCGTTAGCACACGACTGTAATGTGAATGGTATTGAATTAGTGTTAGAAGCATTTTCACAACGTAGGCGCGATGCCGATCGATTTACGCTTGTATAAGACATTACGCCATCTCGTTTTTGTGAAATAGAGGACACAGGTATGTGTATGTCATTGAGCCATCTGTAATACTTGTTCTACACTTGCACTTTGAGGTTCTGGAGAAACGTACATTAGTAATAGTCCACGGGCCCACATGTAAGGGATTTCAGTGATTAATAACAGGCTGAAAGTTTATAGACAGCTTCGTTTTGATGAGACACCCAACTTTTGACGGCTCCGTGGCGCAGTGGCTTAGCAATCAGTTGTTGCGCTGAGGGCCGCGGGTTCGAATCCCGCACGGAACAAGTATTTGTATGGCCTACAAATAATTGTTCCGGGTCTGGATTTTTGTCCTTGTGCAATTTATGTTTGTAAACTGCCTCCACGACACAGGAAAAAATCCTATTGTGGGGGTAACGTTTTATAAAACAAAAACAAAGAAACAAAAATTTTATCATTGGACCAAATTCTGACAGTGGAAGGAAAAATCGCGCGATAGGGAGCGAAACACGTCGATTTGATGAGTGTCCCAAATTAAATAATAACAGTTTCTAAAAATCAATACTTCGAGAAAATACGATGGAAAACTGAGAAAAACTTGTGGCATACAAAATGAATGGTACCTTCCGAGTGACTTCTAGCTCTAACATGTCAGAGTGGTGACTTGAAAAAATTTATTAATAACAAGCTGATTTTTGTTTTGGGGCTTGCAAAATATATTTTTTTTATAAAAAATGCATCGCCATACAAATTTCTTGGTAATTTTTTTGAGACCTACACTCGAAAGTTGGCAAGATTATGTTAATCTTTTTTTGATTAATAACCGTATGCCACGAAAAATTTATGATTATATACTTAATTCTTAATCCAAATATAATAGTGACCTACAAAAAATGGTATTTTTTTTAGTTAACCACACTCACACTCACACTCACACTCACACTCACACACTCACACTCACACACTCACACTCACACACTCACACTCACACTCACACTCACACACACTCACACTCACATTCACACTCACACTCACACACTCACACTCACACTCACACACTCACACTCACACACTCACACACTCACACTCACACACTCACACGCACACACTCACACGCACACTCACACACTCACACTCACATACACGCACGCACTCAGCCATACATACAAACATACACACACACAGGTAAGTCAGCCATGCAGGACCTTAATAATTTGCCTTATTATAGGACAGTTATGTTTTTATGCTATAACACCCAGGATACTGTTGGCGCTATTCCTTGTTCTGCTTAGTAGAGATGCGGCTTTTTTGCGCATTTGCAGAGAACATGCCTGAAGCGCTACAATGGCGGAGCAGCCCCAAAAGAACTCTAAATGCATTGTTATATTGCACCTTTAATGCTTTATACGCCCTTGGTGTGTAGTTGACCCAAAGGGAGCACGAATAGAAAGACTGGCAGTATGCCTTAAAAAGAGTCATTTTAACGGCATTACTTCATCGTGCAAACCTACGGGCTAACATATTACTCCGGGTCGCTAAAGCCCTACGTTCCCTCTCCATGTCCATTTCATCACGCAAATCCTCGGTCACGTAGTATCCCAAGAATTGTGATACTCTCGATAAAGCAGTGTTGTAGAGTCTGATAGGTGGTATGTACGTGGGACTCTTGTCTTTAGCTTTAAACAACACAAACTCACTTTTCTTTATATTATAAATTAGACCGTGTTCATTTGCATAAGCCTCACAGATTCCCAGAAGCTTTCTGAGCGCACTGACCGAGGGACTCAGCAACATCATGTCGTCGGCGTAACTTATGTTGTTGACACACTTTCCATCCACATGGCAACCGATCTTAGTGCTGCTAAGTCTCTCGAGCAGCTTATATATATACAAGTTAAAAAGTTGAAGTGAACTTATTACACCTTGTCTCACGCCACATTTCAACTCGTACTGTTCAAAAAGCTTATCTGCCCATTTTACATGATTGGTTTGATGATTGTACCAATAGCGGA